CTCGAGATCTGCTCCAGTAAAGAGAGACAGTCACCTGGATGCTCACCTTCCTKTGAACCTGGCCCCTTAGCTGCTACTCTGCCTCTGTCCAGCTCACCTCTCAGCTGCTTCACTGTAACCTGCTTCGAAACGCCATGATCTTCCTTCTCAGAGTGCTCGATCCAACTGGTGACCTGTACCATATACTGTCATTTTATTAAAGTAAATTTAACTAATACAGCAGATTACATTTGACCATAACTGTAATGTCCTATTTATACATAAGAAAACAGCAGTGCATGGCCAAAAAACAAAAACAAAAACAAAAAAACAAAAAAACTAGTATTTGGGAACAAATTTGATGTTTAAACTATAAAAATTACAGGCCTTTTCAGAACACAACCAAAATTTGTTTTTTTTCATAACTTCTGTAACCTCGCAAATTTTGGGGGTTGATTAGAAAGTTTGTAGACACCTGTTTTTCTTCAAGTGTTAGTGTAAACTATTTCAAATACATTTTCTGCATATTTGTTCTTGTTCATCTGATGTAAAAGTGCAGTGAAAAAGCCAGCAGAGAGGCGGGCAGCACCTCTGCTCCTCATCAAAGGGCACTTGTTAGCCCAACACCCCTGATGTTTTTCTGTTACGTCACTGGACCAAAACATTCACTAAAGGCCTCAGGAAGTAGGTGGACTGATAAAATGGAAAATTTAATGCTTTTTATTTTGTTTTTGCTTAAAAATATTGTAAAAACTAAACTTTTAATCATTTTTTTGTCCGATTGCTACAAGTTGACAAAAGATTTTAACTTCTCTGGAGGTGACCTGACCAGTACTCACAAAATTCAATGTAAATTGCAAGGAATTTAGGGATTTCATCATGCAGGCCATAATATCAGCAAAGATTCAAAGAATCTGGACAAATTTCTGCAAGTAAACAGCAAGACTGAAAACAAATATTGAACGCCTGTGACCTTTGACCCCTCAGGCAGCTCTGCATTAAAAACCCACATCATTCTGTAACGATATAAACACATGGGCTCAGGAAAACTTCAGAAAACCTGACRGTGAACACAGTTCACCTCTACGTCTACAAGTTAAAGCTCTATCATGCAAAGTGATGGCCAGACATCAACAACACACAGAAACACCGTCGGCTTCTTTGGACCTGAGCTCCTCTGAGATGGACTGATGCAGAGTGGAAAAGTGTCCTGTGGTCTGACCAGTCCACACGTCAAATTGTTTTTGGTAATCATGGACATCGTGTTCTCCAAACCAAAGAGGAAAAAGACTGGATTGTTCTCAGCACAAAGTTCAAAAGCCAGCCTCTCTGATGGTATGGGGTCACATCTGTGAAGACACCATTAATGCTGAAAGCTACATCCAGGTTTTGGAACAACACATGCTGCCATCCAAACCACGTCTTTTTCAGGAACGTCCTGCTGATTTCAGCAAAACAATGCCACGACACACGCTGTAGTAAAAGAGTGCAGGAACCAGACTGGCCTGCCTGCAGTCCACACCTGTCTCCTGTTGGAAATGTGTGGAGCATGATGAAGAGACCCCCGGACTGTTGAGTGACTGAAGTTGTTCATAAAGCAAGAATGAAAGAGTTCCAGATACAAAGCTTCAACAATTAGTGTCCTCAGTTCACAAACAGTGAGTGTTGTTAAAGCTGATGAAACACAGAGGGAAACATGCTCCTGCCCCTGATTGTTTGGAACGTGTTGCAGCATCAAATTCAAAATGAGTGAAAATTGAAAAAAAAATAACTTAACTAACGTTTTTCAGTTTGAACATTAAATATCTTATCTTTGTATTGTGTTTGAATATACAGCGGGTAAAATAAGTATTGAACACGTCACCATTTTTCTCAGTAAATATATTACTAGAGGTGCTAATGACATGAAA